GTTTACGCCTCTAATAAAATTAAGAAAATGAACTGATAATGAACGTTCTTGGATGACAAACAAGCGGCTACCAGAGAACTTTGTAACGATGTAAACTAACGGTAAATGAACAGCTTGAAAAAAAGCCGCGTCTCAAATCTAAGCCGCGGCTCAAATTCTTTAAATTCGGCCTCAGCCCTATGCAAGAATAAAAACCTGAATGTTAAGCTCATAAAGTTTTTAGAGAACGCCAGAATTGTCACTTTCTTTAGGTCAAGTTTGAAGTTGTCACGGTTTGGAATTATAATTCATCAAATAACTCAGCATGATATATATGCTCTCAACAGTGATACAAATTATTTCAAACATTATACCATTAGATTGAAAGCAAAAAATAAAAAAATTGCATTAAGTATAATTGCAAACTTGCAAACCAAACCCTTATTAATATTTAAAGTGAGACAACTCTCAAAACTTCGTAAGCCTATGGGGGGGGGGGGGATTTAACCCCTTCCTTATATTCTGTGTACGAATACAATATCCGACCATTTAAGCAACCCCAAGATTTTTACTGGAGACCCCAATCTTTTCATTGGAGACCTTAGATTTGTTGGAGATTCCAAGAATTTCATTAGAGACCCCTAGATTTTATTGGAAAACCCAAGATTTTTAAAAACCAAAATATTACGGGTTTCCGATGAATATCTTGGAGTTCTCCAATAAAATTCTGGGGGTCTCTCCTTAAAATTCTGGGGGGTCTCTCCTTAAAATTCTGGGGGTCTCTCCTTAAAATTCTGGGGGTTCCTCCTTAAAATTCTGGGGGTTCCTCCTTAAAATTCTGGGAGTCTCCAACAAAAATCTGAGGGTGTCCAACAAAATTTTGATCTTTATCAACTTTTAATAAAAGTAAAGCAACATCTTATCAATAAAACTCCATACAAAGTTCGTGCATTTTTGGTTTAATGTTTTCTTCTTTATGATTTAAAATATCAAATTTAGCCTTCGCTTCAAACTTCAATTTTCTAATCCCTACATCTTTGCCACGTCATGGTGTACACCTTTGACATTTCAAACAAAGACTGTTTTGTCAAACAGAATTCAAAGTTTGACATATATAAGGTCTGATATTGGTTTCCAAAGATATAGGGATGATAAAATCTGATTTTGTGGCAAAGACTCAATTCAGGGATGACCTTTAATGAAAAGGTATAAAGACATAGTTGAGCCGCGTTTACGTAGTTCAACCATTTCTTTACAACTTGAACCAGCGAACAAGGAAAGTGGTTGAACTACGTCTGTGCGGTTCAGCTATTTATTACTATTCAATAAATGGTCATGATTGACCAGATGAAAGTCAGATTATGACCAATAAATTAAAAAAGTATAAAAATTCTTTTCAATTTGGAATATCATTGTTCGACGTTGACAAGGCAAAAAGTCAGTTTTATATCCATTGAGGTCACCTCCAATGAGAATTTTACGATTGAGCATAAACATTAAACATGAATTAAGATTTTATCTGTAACGATGCTGTAAAACTAATTTCAAAATTAAACAATTAATTACAAGGGAGAGCACAGAGGGGTATACTTTCTATGACAAAAAAGAAGAAAATGAAAAAATAAAAAGAAGGAAACGAAAAAAGAAAGGAAGAAGGAAACAATATTATGTGTTCAGAGCTGGGAACTTTAGAATGGGATACCTTTAATCTCGACAGCTTAATCCGAATATCCAATGTGGACACTTTTAATTTCTTGCTTATTCCACTTTTGTTGGATATAGTATACAGAAAAATCAAAAACCGGTTTTTCAAAATAAGAGAGTTCTTCCCAATTCTATATATTAATCTTACATGGCGCGCAAAATTTCAAATTTCCCGGCTTCTGATAAGCGACTTTAATTGGTTGAATTTTATACACTTTTCATGATACAAGTACAAGATTAGGTTAGTCTCGAGATTAAGATTAGAAGCATTGATCTTTATATCCACCAATCTAAAGTTCCAAGCTCAGGATAATTTTTTCTTCAAATTAAAAAAAAATTGAGTGCTTTCTGAAATATATCATCAGGGAATTCTTATTATATCCAATCTTGTCAAATAATAGGGTTTATATTATTGTGTTTGTATTTTGAGAAGTTTATCCTTTTCCCTTCTTTTATTAGATTACTGATTCTTATGAACCCCCTTACAACAAAGTAACATGAAGATAAAATTTAAATTATGAACAAAATATGGCCAAGTGAAATTTTTTTTTCTAATTTTGAAAAAACTGAAGATTATCCTGCTTAAGCTTTTTTTGATTAAATCTTCAGTTTTCCCAAAACTATAATTCGAAAACAAAACTCTACTGCAAGCTTGAGGATGAATACAAACAGCTGCTACTAAACCTGATTTTACATCATTTACTTTCCCTGTATTTAGAACTATAATTCGAAAACAAAACTCTCCTGCAAGCTTGAGGATGAATACAAACAGCTGCTACTAAACCTGATTTTACATCATTTACTTTCCCTGTATTTTGAACTATAATTCGAAAACAAAACTCTCCTGCAAGCTTGAGGATGAATACAAACAGCTGCTACTAAACCTGATTTTACATCATTTATTTTCCCTGTATTTAAAACTATAATTCGAAAACAAAACTCTCCTGCAAGCTTGAGGATGAGTACAAACAGCTGCTACTAAACCTACTTTTACATCATTTACTTTCCCTGTATTTAAAATAAGTATTGGCTATTCGAGATTAAATTATTATCAGTTGTACATAAAGTTTAACTCAAAGATTTACATCTTATCCCTTCATTTTTTGTTTTGATGCAATTATAGCTTCTCAATTATTGAATAGCAATTGAAGGGAACGAAAACAATCAAAATATCATCTTAATAAACTATAATGTTGTTAACGGCTAGAAAACGAGATTCTCAAGATGATAGATAATTAGTCCGCTGAAATCAGTCGTTGAAGTAGGTATATTTCCCAACAATATTTCCCAATTGGAACAGCAAACTCACAATAGAATGAACCCCCGTCTCAAAAATCGATAACAAAAAAATCTCTTTATTTTCTGAAAAAATTACATATATTGATTACGTGTCAAATGGTAAAATTAATGTTTATAATGAAAAAAATCCTTCCGATGTGATAAGGGGTAGCAATGGTTGAACAGTATTAAAAGACGTTTTAAACTTCTGAAATAAGATGACAATTGTTTATTAACGAAAGTCACTAATTCTTTGTATGAATATTATTCTTTGTTTAACTTTTGAAAATATATTCACAATACTCGAGGCTTTTGTTTATGACTCCATCGGAGAGAACAAAGAAAAGGGGGTTAAAATTGCTTTGGTTTGGTGTCTCCGAGAGGGGACCTAAGTAAAAGACGACTTTACACGGAGACTTATTGTTAATGGTTGACAAATGTGTGATGAATAAAAAATCTAGCTTTTAGTCTTTTTTCATTAATTTTGACCCTTATTGAGTTGTTCTGTCCTATTTATAACTTTTGTGCCCCCCCCCCCTTTAGAAACCTGAGCCCTACCTAATTACCAGTTTATTTTTTCTCATTTCTTTCATTTAGCTATTCTTCCTTTTTTTACTTTCTCCTTTATTGAAACCTATTTTAACCCTCCTCTCCTCCTTTTTCATCTTCAAGATCGCTTTTTCATCTTCAAGATCACTTTTTCATCTTCAAGATCACTTTTTCATCTTCAAGATCACTTTTTCATCTTCAAGATCACTTTCATCTTTAATATCGCTTTTTCATCTTCAAGATCGCTTTTTCATCTTCTAGATCACTTTTTCATCTTCTAGATCACTTTTTTCATCTTCAAGATCACTTTTTGTCATGTCTCTTTCTCACCTTCCAGCACATTTAAGAACATCCACTGCAGGGTATTTCACTAAATATGAGAAAACATGAAAATCGTCTTTGATTTCCGATAATTGATAAATGACGATAAGTTTTTAAAAAGAGTTTCATAATTTTATTTAATAACTCTGGAAAAATGTTTAGATATTTCTGCCAATTTTAAAAACATAGAAAAGCTGGATAACATTTTGGAACTATCTTTATAGACTATATTGGAGTTTTCATTGATAATTGTTTTTTTTTCAGAAAATTCGTCATGGACCAAAGACGATATAAAAAACGTTTTTATCCCCATGTTTATTTCTAACATGTGTGTGCAGTGTGCACACATATGAGTGTGTAAAGATTGCTAAATGTATCCATAATTATCCAATTATAAAACCATCCCTATTCATCTTCCTTATAACTTCATTCTTGATGTTTGCAGTTCTCTGTGATATACACTATACAGGGTTTCATGAGATATACACTATACAGGGTTCCATGAGATATACACTATACAGGGTTTCATGAGATATACACTAAACAGGGTTCCCCACAAAGGATGAGGGTTTAGATTCAACTGTACGGATTTTATACTGTCCATTTCCTTATATTCATAAATTTTTAAACCTTTCTATCTATGCCAAATCATTAAATAAGTCTTTTAAAGGCTGCATTCAAGGCAAAGACTTTAAATATGCAAGTCCGCTTTAAAGTTTCAACCTTTGTTGGTAACCCTGTATATCCTGTCGGCAATGTTCCAGTGAACCTGTTAAACTCGGAACCTAAAAATCCTGCTCTATCCTGACCTTGCCTTTGGGTTTAATATAAAACTTGGTATCTATATACTTCGTACATCCATGGGAGACTCAGAATTTTAAAAGTAAAGGCCGGACCTGAGAATGATGCCCATATGTGTAAAAGTAGTTTCGCACATTTCTAAGATCATCAAAAATAAAATGGCGCATTTTCCCGCTGTTTTCAGCATGTGAGCTAAATTAGCTACCGGAGAAGGTTAAGTTGTCTTGCTCTGGGAGGTAGAAGCCCCAGGGTTCACCGCACGTTACAAGAACTGTTTTGCGTTAAGGATATCTCAGCGCGCTCGTCTGTATGCGTATAGGCAAGGTAAGACTGTGCGCGTGAGCGACCCCGGTTTCGCTAGTAGTGTATTGGTGCTCAGAGAGAGGAGATAGTGGTGCGCGCACATAAGAATTGAAATACATGTGTGCTCCAGTATGTGAAATGGCTGAAAAATAGTGTACACCGGCCGACGATATTTTCCGGTTTTTCCAAAATGCTCCGCCCTCAATTGAAATGTTTGTTGGTCGCGCTTCTAGCTCAAGGTATGAGAATGAATGGGAGGGGGGGGGGGGTACGAGGAAAGTAAAAGTTACTTCCGTAAGTTTCACCTTCTTCCCTGAGCTATATACAGATTGAAACGTGAAGTCAGCTGAGTTTACATTAATTTAAATAACAATATCAATTTAGAATTATAATCACACTTCGTCAAAGGCTTGTAATGCAATTTATAGATGTCATTAACTCTGTAAGGAATGACATTGATTGAATGTGAAATTGCGTCATTTTACCATTTAGCAATATACAATATGCATGCATGCGCAAATTCGACGTTTACAGTGTTTCGTGTAAGTTTTGCGCACATATTTTTCAGATAAATCATATTATCTTAAATGGTTTCAAAAAAAATTCCTTTAAATGTTAAAACAAATGTTTGTTTTAATATTCTACAGTACATTCCAGTTAATTTCATGTACCGAGCCGAATTTCAACTACCCTGGTCAATTAAAGTGCATTTATTTGATTCAAATTAGCATAAAGGATTTTAGTCTTTGCCACCAACTTTGATTTTTAAATCCTTACATCTTTGAAACTCAATGTCGTAAACCTTAGATATTTCAGTATATGGATTATTTTAGATCAAATAATCTCAGTTTGAAATATCAATGGTTTACATAACCTGCAGGTTGTGAAGATAGGGATTAGAAAATTTGAGCTTGTGGCAAAGACTTAATTTATTTAAACATACGTTTAAATTTGCTAACCGACCCAAATCAAACGGAACTATAAAGCATTGCATAATTCATCAAATCTTAATAAATGAGCTAAATCATGTCTTTTCTAAATTTAATTTTAAAATAGATTTAAATATAGTTAATTCTATATTTTATGTTTAATTCAATTGTTTCATTCTAACCCCAAACCACAAAAAAAAACTATTTTCTCAAACTTTTAACAATTTCAATATCAGAGGGTATTACTATTATTATTAAACATGAAAAATGAATAAACCTTTTACCAAAAAGCGATTATGACTTTTGAGGGGGCACTGTAGAAAGTCCGGTTGGTTGAGAAATGTTTTAGTTTCTGTTCCGCATAGGTTGGTTTATAAAGAGTAAAAAACATTAAAATTAAAGGAACTTGAAGGATGTTTATTCTTAAACTTTGCATCTTAGAAATCCTTGAACCTTTAACTTTTCTAAGGAAGGGGTTACACTTACAGGGTGGAACAAAATAAATAAAACCGATAAATTGCGGGTTTCTGAAACCAAACATGAAAATAAATAAAAAATTGTTTTTCCTGGATTTTTTCTTCATTTTCTTCATTTTTATTTTGTCTCACCCTGTATTCTGAAGCAGACAATATCATCATTGTTCCCTTACTTTAGTTAGAGAGGAAATATATACAATACATACATTATTTTGTATCCTGTATCCTGTATCTTACACCTATATCTTGTATGTTGTATCCTGTATCCTGTATCTTGCACCTATATCTTGTATGTTGTATCCTGTATCCTGTATCTTACACCTATATCTTGTATTTTGTATCCTGTATCCTGTATCTTGCACCTATATCTTGTATGTTGTATCATGAATCTTGAATCTTGTTTTCCCAAATCTAGGAAAAAGGCAAATACTCAGAAATGGGGCCGCAAGTTTTGATTGTTTGAAGTGTACCACTTTTATTTTTCTATTTCTCATACTTCATTCGAAAAATTGAATTGCCATTGTTAAATTGGAACGCATAAATAACTTCCAGTATATATATTTCTTATAACTTATTACTAGAGGGTTCAGAACTAGAGTCAATATCGATATCACACGTGTAGATGTTTTATCAGTACTATGCCCCGTATCCGTTCTATCTCATTCTGTTGAATCTTGTAGAACTTGTTTAACGCGGCCAGGCATCGTCTTCCACATGCCATTTTGTGTTTCTTGGAATAAATATAGCTAAAATCTTCACATAAAATCATTCTCTAATTACATATTAATTGTCTGTTAAACATCAATAAGGTGACGTAATAATTGTCATTTAGAAATAATTAACAAATTATTAACAGTTATTAGATATCATATGACCCCCTCCCACCCACCTTTTTTTAATACCCTCTGAGAATCAAATCAACCCCCCCCCCCATGTTGTTCCCCTAGTTTAGCTATGTTTATACAATTAACTACGTAAATTACCCTAATTAAGAATAATTAGCAACTGTTCAAACAAAAATGGGATAATTTGGGACAAATTGGCTGCAAACAAACTTACTTTCACACCAATTCTTGTTAACCTGTAGGACAATTTACAAATATATTTAATATTAATATTTATAGATTTATTAAACATTTTTTATCGAACAATGGGGGGGGGTTAACTCGCAAACAACTTAAGATTAAAGGTCTCTTCGTGAGCAACATTTAACATTTTTTGAGAAATATATCCACTTTTTTCCACTTTGATATTTAAGTTAAATTTTTAATTGTACTCTGTATCTCGTTTCAGACATCTTTGAGTGATGTAATTTCTTAACATTTTTTTACTTAAAGGTTTTGGAAAGTGGGTTTATATGTAATTCTTGTCGAAACTATGTGTAAATGTATCATGAGTCGAAATAAAACGTTAAAACCTTTTTTATCAAAGATTCAACAAGGTTTTTTTAACAGAGACAATATCTCCCGAATTATTTTTTTAATTGTCCTTTTTCATTTCTAAAGTCCTGAACAATTTTTAGATCTTACTTTAAAAATAAAACAATAGAAAAATCATCTTTTATTGAATGTTGTCTTTCCGCGATAAAAATGTTTATAACTGTGAAAATTATTTTTTTTTGTCTTTATAGAATTCACAAACCTCCCTTGGTAAAGATTTGTTTTATTTAGTTTGTACACCAAATATATGTCTGTATGTTCAATTTGCCATATTGTCTTCCTGGGTATAATATATTTCTTTGAAACTATGCATTGCAAACCATCAAATAACTCAGTACTTCCAGCTACCCAATATTTACATGACTGTGAACAATCTTTAAGAAAAACTAAATTTGCAGAACAGCGATTCTCTAAATTGCTTCTTGAAGAGGATGATATGAAAATTCCCTGTATAAGTATCATGCATTATAATCTGGGATTTCAGATAGAATTATCAGCGAAAATATGCTCAAAAACGCGGGATAAAATTGCTTTTCGTAGATTTTCAACTCCCACAGCCTGTCCAATTTAAATATGCATCCTCTTTAAACAAACATAAGTAACATCCAGAGATGCATTTGCAATTTGCATTCATGAGGTCTACATTTATCCACATCAAAATCTATTTAAATCTTTTACTTGCCAATCTTATTTACTTTTTGTTTGTATATTTTGCGTTGCATTTTGTTTTTACTTCCCTTTCCGGTCCTTTCTTTAGAACGAATCTTTTCTACACAGTTTTCTTTGTTCCTTTCTTCTATTCAAGATTGATCTAGAAAATGATTATACAATGATGATCAGCACTAAACAAAATCTATTAAATAGCGCAGTAGGAAATAAATGCGATTCATCAGGTTATTTTCAAAGTTAAAAAGAGAAGACCTTTGAACCTCATTGAACATTTGAAGCGAACCCAAAAATGAAAATAAACAGTTTAAATAAACAAAAACATGAATATATCAATATTACTTAATCAGACAAAGCGTTAGAGGGTACTGCTGTGAATCAAACATTGCCATCTTTGCATGGAGGATCACTTGAAATTACGCTTTCATATTTCTTTGAAGAGAGAAGGTCCCATTTTTCGACCTTAAAACGACCAAAAACTGTTTTAATTTAATATTAACTATTTCTTATGAACTATTTTTGTGTGTTATAGCTAATATATCTTTTGTAAATTGTATATTTTGTACTTCATATCTTATGTTACTTATATGTTTCTTATATATATAGTTTCAGATTAGTTTTCCCAAAGTTGCAAACACTGCAAGTTGAAAAAGAATTCCTAGTAGAGACTATAATTAGTGATATAAATGCTTACTAAACACTTTACAAAATATAAAACAACAATTAATAATTTCGGATTTTTTCAATTTACGACATTTTCGTATTTATAAATTTAGGTGCCGCAAAAGAATTTGTAATTTGTAATATTCCATCAGTTACAAAATCGAAAACCTTTAACGGCAAGATAAACTTAAAATAAGAGAGCGAAGATGAGAATGGGCCCACTTTACTTTTGTTATCACTGTATAAAACATTTTTTAGTATTTAATCTCACAGTCTAATTTTTTCATTTAACTTGAACATGTTTCGTTCTTCTTGATATTTAAAAGTGAAATTGAAATTTTTTCGAAATTTTTTTGTATAGATTTATTTTCTGGATTTTTTGAGGCAAAATTTTAAATTTTAAGAATTGTTCGTAAATTGTATAAGATTATTACCGCTGGTTTAACAAAACCACACAATATTTTATTTTATTTTCTCTTTTAATTTTCTGAAGAAAATATCCCTAAAATGTATACTGTCCCCTATTAATATTTCTTTCTACTTTGAACCCTTATATATTTTACTAAAATTTTTATAAATTTTCAATATTGTTTTTCTTCCATCAAAGTTAGGTACATGACATCAAAGTTAGGCTAGTGTTTAATTTAAAATATCTATAAAACCATAGTAAAACCAAGGCAAGAAATTTTACTGCTAAATTTCTTGCAAAATTCATGTTTTTTTTGTAATATTAAGAAATTTAACGTTCTTCTGACGTTCCAAGAAAAATCATAATTTTTTATACTTCCAACAAAGAAAAATATGAAATTTAATCCCCCCCTTCCCCCATCTTTTTATTGAGCTTAGACCTCCCATCGTGTGAATAAATCAAACAAACAATCCCATATTTGAATAAAATTAAAAAGTAACAATTTTTTGGGTTTAAAATTTATCATCCTTTGTTTGATTATTTTCCCACAAATATACTTTTTTAGATTAATTATTAAATGATAAGCCTTTAGATATATGATATAATAGTCAGTGTTAACTATGTATGCATCATCTATGTATAGAGTCTGTATTATTTAATCTATTTATAGAGTCTGTATTATTTAATCTATTTATAGAGTCTGTATTATCTAATCTATTTATAGAGTCTGTATTATCTGATCTATTTATAGAGTCTGTATTATCTAATCTATTTAAAGAGTCTGTATTACCTATAATCTATTTATAGAGTCTGTATTATCTAATCTATTTATAGAGTCTGTATTATCTGATCTATTTATAGAGTCTGTATTATCTAATCAATTAATAGAGTCTGTATTATATAATCTATTTATAGAGCCTGTATTATCTAATCTATTAATAGACTCTGTATTATATAATCTATTTAAAGAGTCTGTATTATCTAATCTATTTATAGAGTCTGTATTATCTAATCTATTTATAGAGTTTGTACTCCGTATTATCTAATCTATTAATAGAGTCTGTATTATGTAATCTATTTATAGAGTCTGTATTATCTAACGAATGTATTATCTCAAAGATTGAAAATATATCTAAAGTGTGGCGCGGAGAACCCTTCTAATTCTTATAATACCAGATATTATCTAATCTCTACTAAAAACGGATTCAGACGTTCAAGGCTAAATGAATGCATTGCTCGCCCTAAGAACCTGTCCTTTTAAACTGATTCAGTGCAAAACAAGTTTTAGCCAGATATTTCTCATGAAAACTGGTGGTAGTAGAATTTGTGCGGCAATTTGGTTTTTTTTTTGGTGGAATTTTTCGGAAAAACATTTTTAAAAAACCTTCAAAACATGTTGAAAAATTAATATTTATTTTTTTTCAGTAATTTTCGGAACACGTATACAGCCCCAGCGACTACCAGACGGACCATCAAGTAAGTTTTTTTGTTGTGCAACCTTTTAAATAGATTTGGCAAGGATCTCTCGAATCCATGGAGTTAAAAAATGACCGATTTCTTTTTTCAAAATAATTAAAAATTCGGATTCGAGATTTCTGCTTTTTGTAATCTAGAATATAAACTATCTGACTTGACTATATGCTAATATATTGACTGTAAAAAATGCTTCACATCTATTTTGCGACTAAACACCCAGCAGGAGACTCAGAGACTTTAACGACCGGAGCCTGGAGACTTGAACGGAGACAGGAACAGGTAATTATATTCTTCTTTTCTGTCCTTTCAATTCTTTTCCTTTCTATCCGTTCCTCTTCTCTTTCCTTTCAGCTTTAATATTTGTTTCATATTTTTAAAAAAAGTTCAGATTAAAGTTTTTTCTCCTTCCTTCTCTACTTTTGTTTTCATTATTTATCTTTTCTTCTGCGTCTATCTTTATATTAAAAAAAAATCAGAGTTTTTCAAAATATTATATTTCTGAATTGGTTTTTATAAATCAGTTTTATGAAATTAGTACAAAAATATGTTGCCAAATGTTTAAGATTTCTTCATAAATAAATTGTGATCCTTGTTTCATATAGAAGGGGGAGGGATTATAGCCCTTGGGAGTATGAATTATGATATTTGTCGATTTGTCACAAGTCACACTTTTCCACGTCTAGTCATTTTTGAAAATAATATTTGACATGCTTTTAGAAGGTAATTTCTTTAAAAAAGTTGGTCGAAAAAATTTTAAAAAAATATCTCTATGTTTGAGAAATACAATCATGAGTCACATGCTTTTATGCCAATTTTTAAGGGTTTTAAAAATATTTAGATTTAGAATCTAAATAAACGTTAAAAAACTGTTTCTAAATTTGTTGAATTTTATTGCAAAATTTGTTTTCAATTTTTAAAATTGGAAAAGTTAAAATTTTCAAGAACTTTTCTTTCCCGTTCATTTTCCTGCGCTTATTGTGATTTTCATTTTATTTTATCTTATTTTCATTTTTTTCATAAATTCGTGTACATGAATATAGAACGAAACTATATGACCCCCATTTTCTCGTGAAAACAATGTTTCCTATTTATATTTCTGTTTTTATTCTTCAATTGCTTTTCACAAAATGGTTTCTACCAAAGATGGAAAAATTAACTGTTGAGTCCGGAGACAATATTTCATGTTTTTTTAGAAAAGGAATATGCAAACGTTGTGAATTTTTGACTGGGATAAAATATTCTGATAATTTTAATTTTAGAACAAGTTAAAGTTTAGTTGGGAAACCGATTTCTAATAACAGTCGTTTAATGTTTTAATTTTTTTTTATTTAAATAAAATCATCATTCTTAATTGTCTCAATAATTTTATTAAAATGTAATTGTAAGATTTTTTTAAATGAAAGACTGACAGTGATCTCTATCTCTGAGTAATATAAGTGAAAAAAATCTTCTTTTTCAATCTAAAAATTTTAAATATTAGTTCATGCCTTTCAAAAAATTATCCCCAAATTTCTACAGCACAGACTAGGAAGGAAATGGCAATTTGAATGGTCACATTAAATCATGACAAAAGTTGCCTTAAGCTAAAGCAATATACCAAAGAAAACGGAAAGTTTTAAAAATCTTCGTAATTATAATATGCATTAACAATTTTAACCATTTACTTGCTTGTCTTTGGTGTCGAATAAAAACAATCTTCTTTGAGAAATTTTATAGCGTATAGCCTTCAAAGTTTCGTCGCACTTTTTAAATATGATTAATTGTTTCGATTCTAATTTCAAAACATTACAAGTGGATTCAATAATTTAACACATAATTAAACTTAGTTATTCTTTCTGAGATCTCAGACATGATAAATATAAATTAAGGGGGTATATGCGTTATTTAAATGGACTCTTTAAATATTGCAATTCCTGATTCACAACGATACCGTTCTGAATCTGGAATCTTTCCTTGGAAATTAGAAGGTCACTACAAATTGCGCTTACAGTCCCTTCAAGAGAAAAAAAATTACTTTTTATTAGATTCTATATATATATATATATATATATATACTATACTTATATACTATACTTATATTTATTATATTTAAATGACAAATTATTTAATACTTTAAATTTTAAAATTTAAAATTTATTTTTGCACTCCTGCCGTGATGACAATTTAAACTTTGGTGCTTATTTCATAGGGTCAAAAAAAGGTTAGATAAAAAAAAATAGTTTAAGACATTACAAAACATTGTCGGAACTAGAACCAAGAATAAGATTGGGAACAGGAAATAAGAACGGAAGCACGGAAGGATTTTAAAACGTGATTTTAGATTTATTTTAGATTTTTTGGGCGGATGGGGGGGTAGATTCATTTTTTATATAAAGTTAATATATTGTCACCGTTTGAATGTGGGAGGTATTCTGTTCAAAAGTCGTGATCTAGAAATATTCAAACCTTCGATGTATATATATATATATCTCCCTCTTACCCCCCCCCCTTCTACAGTCCCCATTCTTTCATTGAACAGTCACAAACTCAAAGTTTATAATCCCTATATCTTTTCAATCTGATGGTGTAGACATTTAAAATTTTATACTTAGATTATTTGATCTAAGATAATTCATAACTATAAAAGGTCTACAACATTGGATTGAAAAGATATAGGGATTAGAAAATCAGATTTTGGGACTAAAACTCAGTTCATTTCTTTATTCCATGTTTTTCTTGTTTTTTTTCTCCTCATTCCACAAGCTTTACTTATTCTTCTCAATTTTTCCAACCCACAACCTTTTTTCAACTGTTGTTAAAAGATCAATGCTTTAGCCCCGCCCTTTACCCCCCCACCCCCACTAAACAAGTTTATCTATTTTATTCAAGGTTTATAAATAGATTCCTCGTTGACGTGCCAAATCTTAATCCACTATCTTCCAACTTGTCTTTACTCCACTATCTTCCAACTTGTCTTTACTCCACTATCTTCCAACTTGTCTTTACTCCACTATATTCCAACTTGTCTTAACTCCACTATCTTCCAACTTGTCTTTACTCCACTATCTTCCAACTTGTCTTTACTCAACTATCTTCCAACTGATCTTTATTACACTATCTTCCAACTTGTCTTTACTCCACTATCTTCCAATTGTCTTTACTCCACTATCTTCCAACTTGTCTTTACTCCAATATCTTCCAACTTGTCTTTACTCCACTATATTCCAACTTGTCTTTACTCCAATATCTTCCAACTTGTCTTTACACTCCACTATCTTCCAACTTGTCTTTATTACACTATCTTCCAACTTGTCTTTACTCCACTATCTTCCATACTTGTCTTTACTCCACTATCTTCCAACTTGTCTTTACTCCACTATCTTTCAACTTGTCTTTACTCCACTATCTTCCAACTGGTCGTTACTCCAATGTCTTCCAATTTGTCTTTACTCCACTATCTTCCAACTTGACTTTACTCCACTATCTTTCAACTTGTCTTTACTCCACTATCTTCCAACTTGTCTTTACTCCACTATCTTCTAATTTGTCTATACTTCCCCATTTTCCAACTTGCCTGTATTCCACTATCCTCCAGTTTTTAATGTAAGCTCAGTGACCTAGGCTAACTGTTGGCCCATCATCTGTCTAAATCCGTCTGTTACTAATTTCTTGAGACCTAGTTAATTATTTTGACTAAAAAAAATTATCAAGCAAAACTTTTTAAGATAAACTCTGATTTTTTCATTATCAATATCATGTTTTAAAAAAAAAAATATTTAACATTTATTTTTGCAGGATTGATATCTGAACCTTCCGGAGATGCAACAACAACATTATATCTAGAGGCAACTCAGTCCTCTCAGTACCCCCTCGGAGTCCTAACCTCTATAGTAGACACCTTCATCAACGATGGTACCACCACAGAGTACATGACCCAACATGTTGGTACAGAGATTGACTCCATGTACGCCAAGATAGCTACAACCAGCTCCCGGGAGTACTATAGGATAGCTCCTACAGCCAGTCAGGATTACAACTCCCCGGCCCGACCAACTGGACTTATTGGGTCCTCTACTAGCCTAGATATACATGGTCCAGAGTCTACATACTACACTGTAGAGGAGTACAGAACATACCTAGATGGACATTATGCTCATTTAGTTTCATCCATCAGTAATGTTGTAACTGATGCTGAAGCTATTCAACCAACTCCTAGATTTGAGTTGGATGGAGCACTCAATTCAGATTCTCTGTTCAGTAGCTATGGAGTTGAATCTGGAGTAAGAATCAAAACTATTGGAGCAATAGAGGCCAAACTAGAAGAAGCAGTGGAAGAGCTTGAAAATGAAATTGAAGATTTTTCAGAATCGGTGACAGGGTCAGTCAAGCGTCCAAGGCAAATAGATCTTGATGATCTTATTGCAATAGAGTCTGAGAACCTTGAGATTGAGGCCAGTCCTGTATCCTCAACTCAATCTCTACCAACCTTTACTGTAGGATCCAATGGGGAACTCAACTTCCCAACACCCTCAGTTGAAGCTGTTGAACCTGTTGTTGAGAAGGATCCCATAGAACGTCAGCATAGGTTCCTGGCTGTCAAAGAAACTAAAAGTGCCCTTGATACTGTAACCTATGTTGGATTTGTAGATTTTACCACAACAATTGATGACACTGTTGTTATATTTAGCCCAAAGAATAACTACAATACAAAGACTAGCAATGCATTCCCATCCAGGATTGAGCCAACCAGAGCATTTACAGCAATAGGGGAATCAACCCTTGCTGAAACTACATCTCAGATTGCTGTCAGGGGTGAAATAATCAATGAGGAATTAGATTTTGAAGACACTGAGGAGGATTCAAGGAAACCTCAGTCTGGGATTGATGCTCTAAAGTCTTTGCTTGCCTCTTCTGCAGCCCAGAGAACCAGTATCAGAGGTGCAAGCTTAAGACCCAGATTTAGTTCCTCACCTTTTAGTTCTTCTGTGTCACCAACAGCATCCCTTCCTACTCCTCTTAAT